GAACAAAGTATTGGGAAAGTAAAGCTTCCTGTTTTCTATTTAAAGTTAATTTTTTTTATCCTAGATCCCTATTTTGTTAAACACTTTAATAACATAACAGCTCTTATTCATTTTGTACCAAATTTGAGACATTTAATGACAAAAAAAAGTGACTTTTGAACATTAGATGTACAAATATAAAATAACAATTCCATGTGGACCTATTTAAACCTTATTTCTGTTACTGAGCAGCAGTTATCACAGTGAAACATGTGATATGACTCAAAGGTGTTGGTCATAAGGATGTAAGGGTGTGTGAGTGACACATGAAATAACGCTGTGACAATATGGCAGTGTTAGAGGATGGGAGGTGCCAAACAGGCTGAAGGAAGCCACATCATTGAAAGGAGAGAACCCAGGGGTGGAAAAATAAATGTAGCACTTTTTTGTGAGGTGAAAGCAAATATTCACGCAGCAGTACGCACATAAGATTTACAGTCTTAAAACACTTTTTTAAAGTAAATAAAAAGCATGTTCCATTATCCAGATGGGGTGGAACTTACTTACTTACTTACTTACTTATTTGTTTATTTATTTATTTATTTTTGTACCTCCTCTTTGTTTAAAACCCTGACCACTTTCTGAGTCTGCGTCTAATCAAGCCCCATTATCTCTCCCCCCCTCTGGCTCCCTAGCTCCCCCAGCCTGACCTTACATGGAGAGGCAACAGGAGTTGATGTCACCGAATGAAAGAATGCCACAGGAATCCAGGGAGAAAAAGGAGAGCATAGAAGAGGAAGACAGGGGAGAAAGGGGGTGGGGGTGTCTAAGTGGACCATTTATAAACACATTTACAAGAAAACAAGTTGACAGGGGAAGAAAATAAAAAGGATGGTGCTATTTACATAGAAATACACAAGTCCCGAGCCAAAGTCAAACGAGAAGGAACTTGTTTGGGAGGATGGTGTCATTCCTTTTCCAGGCTGAGAAGCACAGGGGGAGGGTCTAAAAGCTGTGGAGAGAGGAAGAGAGAAAGAGAAGTTAGGAGGCAGCTCTTACTCATTTTGGATCAAGAAGAGAAAAGGCACAAAGGGAAGCGAGGGGGACTAAAAGGAGACATCTTCTGCAGCTGTAACAACAGGGTAAGTTGTGCTGTTGTTAAACACACAGTCAAATAGGAACTCTTGTCTTCTGGGTCAGGTTACCTAATAAGGTAATTGTTTTTTTGTCTCTTGATGGTGCAGATTTTCAGATTAACTGTTGTAAACATAACTGAATGTCATCTTTGTGGTGTGACAGCCAGCTCGAGTGGGGGGGTTTGTATTAAAAGAAAGAAAAAATGAAATAATTGTGGTGGTCGTAGTATTTGCCTGTGTTTTAAAACAAACCTCCCATAAACGTACTTTTTTCTCTGTATGTGGTTACACCGGGCTGATGGACACAGGCACGGAGTATGCGGAAGCTCCAACAGGAAGTCGAGCTGAAAAAAGTTGATTTTGCTAGGTTAGGTAAGCTAGCGACGCGAGTGAGCGGGTTCTGTTTTTTCATAGAGGTGGTGGATTAATAAATTGGTAACAGAGAGGAAACCGGTGACTTTACCATATGAGGTAAGGGTGAGAGAAAAATGGGAGGTGTTACCTCGTATGACTACCGAAACCTATTGACCAACGCGTGGAAAGAAACGTGGTGGGGTGTGTGCACTGCGAGCTGTCTGACCGGTGTTGTATCGAAAAAAGCTCCCCCGTCGTTAAGCACCCTCTCGCCCGCACTAAGGTCCTTGTTTTCACTCGAAAATAGAGTAAAAATCGAAAATTACAAACTTACCCTGTTTTTAAATACATTTATGGACCCTATTATATAGAAATGCTCAATTATGACACGTTTACAGGAAATTAGACTGACTAGCTAACACTACGGAGCAGGTAAAAGTTGCAGCCACAAAATAACTCCCCGAAAATATTTTATGCTTGGAGCAACGTTTATATGTGTGTTTATCTAGGGGGTGTGGATGCATGGCASTCATGTCTATCATAAAGTGAACAACTTGTGCAGCCTACCTGTACATGAGATAACGAAGAACCTCGTCAGTTTTGTCACTTTTCCCTTTCATATGTCTGACTTCCACGAGAGGGGCGCTTCTTCCGGAAGGGGTGCTTTTTTTTCGGCTGAACACGGGGAGCGAACCTCACAGTCGGTGAGATTCAAAGGTTTCTGAGGTGGAGGTGAGTGTTAGTTGTTCAGACGTCAATAAACATTTCCTCTTTTACAAACAACGCGGTCTCGCTAACAGGACAAGCTAACGTTTAAGCTACGTCGAATATCGCTCGTGTAGCGTTGAAGGCTAATGGTCAACATTAACCATTGGCACGCGACGTTTGCTGTGCTGCCCATTAATGAGAGGTTTTGTTTTTGTTATTGTTGCTGCCATTCATGTCAGCATTTTTATTTTTGCGACTTTAACCTTCGGCTGTTAGCTGTTTAGCAAATGATGGTTAAAGCTGTCAAAATGCCAAGGTTTGTTTTTTTGTCGAGCAGCATCATAAATCAGATCATAAATCAGTATTCAGGTTGGTACTGTTCTGTTGTGTTCACGGCCTCTCAGGGTTATTCCACCTTCTCCATTCTCAGTTTATAAACGGGAAAGACAAAATATTTTAAAGTTAGCCACTACAAATTAGATAAGTAGATTCACAGCATCAGAAAGTTCATAAAACACCAATTTGTTACAGATATGTGATTTCAGCAATTTATCATCATTGAGCAATGATTTGACATGTTTCAGACCATTCAAAGCATACATTAGAATAAATAGAAAATATGCATTATTCACAAATGATGTTAACTAGTGGGGTTGTGTAGTATTCAAAATGAACTGACACATCCAAGACATACATTATTTTATCATCTTATGTTTACATCAGTATATAAAACAGCTGCATTTATATTTACAGTCCAGATAATGCATGTCATAATTATCACTTTACAATTTTATGCCACATTTGTTTCAGTTTACCTGATTCCTCAATAAATTGTTGTTGAAAAGCTCAGAAATGTCCACCATCAGTCAGAGTTCAAAAGTCTGAAGATACAGGCACGCCCAGAAAAATGCTCAGTGAGTCTACTTTGTGTACAATAAATGTCATAATTGCTGGTTATCACAGATTATGCCTGGTTATTCCAGATATTATGAGCCTACTCCTGTGGTTGTAAAACGAAGTAAAATTTGACAGAATTTGTCTCAAAGCATTTGTCAACAAAACAATAGATTTGCACAGTTCCAGGCAGATTAAGCAGTTATGGGTTACTTTCTAAATGGTAAGTAACACCAATTGTGCATTGTGGTTTTTGGTCACATTCACCTCTAGTGTATAAATAGAACAGTATAAAAGGACTTATCACTGCATATCAGGTCACCACAAACTAGTACAGAATTGCAACATCTATCCTTCCATTTTCTCTGTTTTTCCATGGAGGTTGATGGGAAGCTGGTACCAATAGGCCAGGTACTGGACAACCCTGGRCAGGTTGCAAGTCCATTACAAACACATGCACAAGGAGAACAAGCACAAACTCCACACAAAAAGACCCCGGCTGGGTGTTGAAACTTTCAGACATCTTGTTGCAAGACGACGGCTCCAACTACAGCTGCACCCTGCCGCCCTATGGCGTCTTTTTAAAATATTTTATATTAACGCCATGATTTTGTGTTTGAAGCAACAAAAATTTTACAATGCTCTGGAAGCTAAAAGTCCCTCGAAGCTCCAAGTTGTTTTTACAAAGACCTGCTGGACTCTCGGCGAATTCCTCTGATTGTTACACAAAGCTATAATAAATTTCTAAATTTCTAGCATGGCTTAAGCGATTTCTAGTCTAATGTCTGTGTTCTGAGGTCTCAGAAAATTGTTGAGTCGAATGAAAATCTTTAGGGATAGAAGAAAAGACTCTGTGATTAGTGTGATGAGGAATCTTCCCTAATTGTAGCCTTCATGAATCAAAACACTCAAGTTATTTCAAATCCATTTGGTTCAAAGCCCTTCTTGTCTAGTGCTGTCTAGTGTTGCTGTCTTGTGACTTGCATTTGGCTTCCATTACGCAGCATGTTGGTGGAAGCAGACAAAGCTGGATGGCGGGGGGGGGGGGGGGGGGGG